GGCGCCCTGCCCACCATTTTTTGGGTCACTTCAAGCCGAAAAAACGCCGTAAAAGCTGCCCCCACCCTCCTTCCCGGGAAAAAGTACGTATTTTGGAGGGTGGCGCCCTGCCCGCCCCCCCCCCTTCCCGGGCGCCATCCCCAGAAACCCGAAATACATACTTTCAGAAAACGCCGTAAAGGTACATAGATCGGAGAGTGCGCCCTGCCCCTGCCCCCCCCCCCCCCCCCGGCGCCACCCCCCGATACGTCGCTTAAGCCAGAAAATGTGGTAAAAGGTACGTATTTCGGCCCTCCCCCCCAGGGCGCCACCCCCCGAAATACGTGCCCTTTCTCGGCCACTTTAAGCCAGAAAACGCCGCAAAGGACACGTATTTCGGGGGGGTGAGCGTCGATGTGAATAAGGAAGCTCTCCGTCAGGGTTCCGGGGGTTTTTGGTTTGGGGGATGGGGTGTGGCCGGGCCCGAGGTACCCTATATAATCCCTCAAAAGGTATATATGGTGTATATATATATATATAGAGGGCCCTGATTCCCTCATTCCCTGCTAACCAACAGTAAGAGCTGACGGTTTGAGGGGTCAGGGGGGGATAGGGGCCTGTAAGGGCCTTTAAGGTTTCTGGTTTGAGGTTTGAAGGCTTGGTTTAGGCCTTAGTATTTCGCAGCAGGGGGGCCCAGCACGTCGGCAAGCTCAGCCAACTCTGGGCGTAGGTGTCCTGGACGTTGCGCTGGAACTTGTCACGCAAGACCTCCACTGCCTGCAGCCCCAGGGGTCAGGGGTTCGGGTTTTCTCAGAAGACCCGCAGCCGGTAGAGTCGCGGAATCTCAGCCCTCTCAGCCCTGCCCGCCTCTCTGCATGCCTCCATACCTTTTGCCTGGGAACTCAGCCTGTCCTTGCGACAAGGGCAGGGCAGGCAAGCTGATGCAGAGCTGGAGGTGAAGCTGATCCGAAGCAAGCCTGTAGCAGTGTACCCAGGGGCCCCAATACCCCCTAATTCAGGAACCTTCATTAAAAACATGATAGACATGGTAGGGTTCCTTATATGGTTTACGAACCATTTTCTTCAACTCGGGAGTATTGGAGTGTCTCCGCCTAGCCCTAGACCGTCGGAATGACAAGAAGGCCGGGTCCTCCAAGACCTCACCTTTGGAGGCCTGCTCCTTTGCTTGCCTTGACAGGCGTTCCACCTGGGGCGACTCGGGTGTTGAAGTTTAAGACCCTAAACCCTAAACCCTAAACCCTAAACCCTAAACCCTAAACCCTAAACCCTAAACCCTAAACCCTAAACCCTAAACTAGGGGCGCTTGCGGTTGCAGAGCCAACTGTGCTTCAGCAGAGCCCATCACCGAACTCGGGGCGGTCTCAGGAGGGGCTTCAAGGCTTCCAACCCCTAACATTCCCAAAGGCACCCAAAAACCCTCCAAACCTACCCCGAAACCCCCAAAAACCCCCCACATCTCCCTTCCTGAAATTTTCATCTGGGTGCCTTTCTTTTTTTTTTCTCTCCCAAACACCCCCAGATCTCCCTAAACCCCCCTCTAAACCCCCCCCCCTAAAGCCGGCCCCCCTTGCCTTCGACTCCAGGCCCTGGCAGAGGCGAGCCAGCCGCAGCCTCGGATTGCGTTGTTTAAAGGCAGTACTGTTGGGCAGTAGAATGTGGAAGCAGTGTAGAAAGTCTAGGCTTGTGGGGTTTTAGGGTTTAGGAAGTTTAGGGTTCAGGGGCTTTGTTTTGTCACTTTCAGCTGTCTGTGGTCTGGCGGCTGAGACCGATGCCCAGACTCCCGCCGTTCGCTCGCCATCTCAAAGGCTTCCTCAAGCTTTGCTTGGACCTGTTACAGCTTCTTGCGTCTGAGAGTCTAAGGCTAAGGGCCCGGAACTGGAGTAGAACTGCCTCTACTGAGCATGGACTTGCGTCCTGCCTCGCGCCGGTGCTCCACAAACTCGTCCTCAATGTGCAAAGAGGCTACTGCAACCACTCACTAATCTTCCTAAACCCCCTGGTTTTGGCTTTGGGGTTTAGGGTTTAGGGTTTAGGGTTTAGGGTTTAGGGTTTAGGGTTTTAGGGTTTAGGGTTTAGGGTTTAGGGTTTAGGGTTTAGGGTTTAGGGTTTAGGGTTTAGGGTTTAGGGTTTAGGGTTTAGGGTTTAGGGTTTCGGGTTTAGGGTTTAGGGTTTAGGGCTTGAACCCACAAACCCACGACAACCCCCGAAGACCCAACTGCAGCCCAGGTTCCCAGTGTGCCAGGAAGCGGCCCTCTGCGTTCACAGCCACCCGTTGCTGATGCCTTGCTGCTTGCAACGGAGGGTTTGGTGCTTAGGGCCTAGGCTTCTGACCCTAAACCCTAAACCTTAAACCCTAAACCCTAAACCCTAAACCCTAAACCCTAAACCCTGAACCCTGAACCCTATCTGATTGGCCACAACAACGGCAACCACTGTCTCCACCAGGACCCGAACTGCTGAGAGTAGCCGCGATGCCTTGGGCTCATGGGATTGTATATATGTACGCATCATACATATACATATACATATATATATATATATATACATATACGTGGATATATATATATATATATGTATGTATGTATGTATGTATGTATGTATGTATGTATGTATGTGTGTATATATATATAAGTTTATACTTATCTTTGTATTTATATTTATGCTTCTATTTATATCTATATTGATATCTATATCTACATCCATTTGTTTTTTATGTGTATTGTGTATCTTGTGTCTACTGTCTTCTAGAGTCCACACATATATGTATTTATGTAGATCATATATCTACATATATATATATATATATATATATGTATGTGTATGTATGTATGTATATACATATATATTACATACACCTATTTATATGTGTATTTTATACATATAAGAGGCAATGCTTGCAAGTATCGAAGAGATCTTCCCCAATTGATCGGCAATTCCTGACGTGCTGCAGCAAGGAAGTGCACGGTGTCGTGCATGCATTCGTGCCTGAACTTTTCGGGAAACAAGAGTCTGCGTGAAATTCCTAACGTAGTTAAGCTCATCCCAGTATCCCTCACTCATTACTCGACTTTTCTGAGGATGGTTGCATCTGCTTGCTGCATGCTGCGCATGTCCTACTTTAACCTATGTGAAACTCCGTCATACAAAAGGATGTCATAACCATGACCCAAGCCTACATGAGAGCGCGCCCTGCCGGGACCCGAGCGACGCTGCGGAAGGCGACCGATTGCCCTCGCGAGAGCCACCAGCGGTGCTGCCTCACATGTACCATTCAGCGCTGAGAGTACTCCCATACCCATGACACGAACCACAAATTCTGCACCGACACGTACGCGATCTGATTTCTTGCTTGCAGGCTTTCAGTGACTCTCATCTCACCACGAGCACCTGTACACCTTTTAGATGAGGACCTGATGTGGCGGGCCCGCTCCATGAACGACCACGAAAGCTAAGGCCCATCCTCATGCAAAGCAAGCTGCGACCTGTGTGTGCAAGCCCCCAGCTTCTCCTCAAAACCTACTCAAACTTACTCCAAGGCTTCAGATTTCAGACGTCATGGCTCAGAACTGGTCTTTCACTGCCTTGACAGGGAACGCCTTGACGACCGTCGAGGCAGGCCGCGCCTTGACTGCCACCTCCTTGCCGAACATAACCCGTGTGCCGGCCTTCGTGGCTGCCTTCGTGCGGGTCTTGATCATGACAAGTCCGGGAAGGACAAACTTGCCCGTCTTCTTCACCTCTGTCGCACCGATGTCAGCCAAGGAAGACAGCACCTGCGTCACCTCGCTCTTCTTCAGGCCTGTGCTCTCGGCCACCTGAGCGGCAATGCCACTCTTCGGCATCGCGCGCACTGCCTTCATCTTCATCACCTTCATGCTCTTGGCAGCTCCCGTGGCCTTCATTGCCTTCATGGGGGCCATGGCTTCGAAGCCTGTCAGCGGGGACGAATCAGAACACTACGGGCGAATCTGAGCCTTTCCTGGCATAGGCGTGTGATTCGGAGCGCTGTACCAATGCTTGCTTGCAGGCCTTCACACAAGCGCCTGTACACCCCACCCCCGGCAGAAAGCAGCAAAAATCGCCTTTGTCTCTATCAAAAGGTTTGCCGAAATGAAAATCATGTCTGCACAAGTTGTTGTGCAGCCATGGCGAAACCAGGGATGTGCCAAGGCTAGTGGTCCGGGCTTTTCAAAAGATAGACATCGATAGCTTCCCTTGCTTCGGTTGTCAAGGTTGCTGGAGGTGTTCGTGGGGCAAGGAGATGCCCCTAAACCCTAAACCCTAAACCCTAAAAACCCTAAAAACCCTAAAAACCCTAAAAACCCTAAACCCTAAACCCAGGAATCGGAGGCCTCCGGGACCAGTCAGGGCCACCTGGGCCACCTGAGCAGCTTACGCTCAGAGATCAACACGCTCAGGAATGGGGGTTTGCGATCTTGGAGGTACCTTTTTGGTGTCCTTCTTATAAGGGGATCCTACACTTGGGGCTCTATAGTAGGGGTCCCTTTCTGTCGTAAAACCCCAAACTTCTTGAAATGCACACAAGCGTCGGCGGAGGTGGGCGGACCCGGAGCCATCCGGCAAGTGGGAGAGTGGACACAAACTTAGGGTACCGTGAGAAGACTGTGAGTGGAAGAACAACTGTCTGGCCGTCCTTCAGCTGTTGAAACATATTCCCTTGCAAATTTGGTCCACGAGTGCTAGGACACCACGACAGACAATTTGACTTGAGTGGATTTGCCAAGCCCTAGCAACGGCTGCAGCATGGTGTGCGCATCAGCGCCCGCGCTATAGCTGTTCAGGCAGGAACTGCCGATCGGATCACGCAAAGTGCTCAAGAACGTGGTTCTGAATTTAGCACAGCTGGGCGAAGGTACCGGCGCTTAGTTGCGATGCACAAGAAGAAGCATGAAGAAATCTGCTGGCAGTTGCAGACTCTGCGCTTAGGGGATTTCTAGTGTGCCAAGCTTTTGCGCTCGCCGGGCTTGCTGGATGAAGCTTCAGCCACGTCCCCTCCAACCCGAGTTCGCGCGGTTCATCATGAAGTCCTGGAGAGCTCTTGGTAAGATGCGTCTGTGTCAGCACTCGGCTGGCAAATGGCGTGACATGGTTCATGCAGTGGTCGAGTCAAGTCCTCCACATCAATGAGCGTGGCCTCCCAACGAAAAGCAGCATCGCAAGCCAGCACGCAAAGTGACAGCTGGCAAGTCGCAAGCGGAGAAGTTGCGTGCTTGTGCTGTGTTTGGCAGCTGTGTTTGGAAGACAGGCCTCATCGAGCGGGACAACGACGCCGCATTGCCTGGCAGCTGTCACTGGGCAGGCGCCCTCTGGTCAACTCGTCGGCACCCCTTTGGAAGCTGCGCGCACAGGTGCACGCAACCGATTTGTCATCTCTAGGGCCCAGCGGTCTCAGAGCAATACAAAGGGGACCTTTCCTGCTTGACAGGAACCTAATCATCCCCACAAGAATCCCGCCCCCCGAAACACTACCCTAACTTCCTCGTAGCCCAAGTTTCCCAAACCGCAAAAGCGAAGGAAATTGCCTTCTTACATCGATACACATGTATATACATAAACATATCTGTATATATATATATACATATATATGTATCATTTATATATACCATATATATATATATGACAATAGTATCCTTGTTGTACATAAAACAAAGTCTAAGAACGTGTAACAGAACCAAAGCGCCCCCACCCTAAAGCCTAAACCCTAAACCCTAAACCCTAAACCCTAGACCCTAAACCCTAAACCCTAAACCCTAAACCCTAAACCCACACCCTAAACCCTAAGCCCTAAACCCCCCAAAAAAATCGCTTGAACCGGGCGACTCCACGCCACTCTTCTCGGGGCAGTCCTTTGCGAAGCCTGGCTCTCGACATCACTCGCTACAATGGGACTCGCAGATTCCAAAAAATTGAGGGGGGGGGGGGGGGTAATATATGATTGTTGGGTGTATACCATTCGGGGGGGGGGGGGTTAATATAAGCATATATATATATATATATATAGAGATAAATAAATAGATAGATAGATAGGTAGGTAGGTAGATATAGAGATATGCATATATATATATATATATATATATATAGATCTGTTTATCTATTTGTTCATTTTTATTTGTTTACTTGTACCTATGTATTTTATGCTTACTTATTATTGTTTAACGAACTTGTGGGCTCATATATAGGAATGGAGTTAATTGCACTGCTGTTCGACCTTCTACAGTCCTGGCCTGGCATGGTGCCCTTTCCGTAGCGGATGATCTCTGTGATTTTCTGCGGCTCCTGCAACGCAAAGCCGCGCAAGCGCTGCGAAACGGCCAGCACATGGCTCAGGCACCGTCACTCCAGGTCACTCCTGCAGGAGCCCCCACCGCTCTAAGTCTTCCACATTCAAACCTCACATCGACTTCACTTGCTGATGGTCTTTCACCTTTGGGCACGCGGCACATGCAACCGAGGAGCCCCTTGAAATGCGGATTGTGTTCATCCCCCCAGGATGGCACCTCAGGGGGTTTTTTAAAGCAGCCGTCGTTTGAACACATTGGGGACTTGAATCTGGTGTTCGGATCTGGGCACGGTGCCCAGCACATTTCGCCACAAAGACCTCCTTGCCATATGTGTACCACTCCTGGGCTCTCTTGATTGGCATCTTGGATCCGGGAACAAGCTCGCCAGCTGCTCTTATGGCATATGGGGGGGTTTTGCGAAAATAGGGACCCCCCAATACAGATCCCCAAATAGTAGGACCCCTGATACTAAGGACCCCAAGAGGTACCCCTAATTTCGGAAACCCCCATATCAGCAAAGTATGTTCATGTACAGAATGAGCCAGAAGAATAACACGGCGAAACCCTGTTGCACTCCTCTTTCGAAACCTCCGTGGACGGAGTCGTTCTTCTTCGCTGGCGCTCCTTCCATGGCAGCCGTGAACCTTTGCCTCTCGGGCCGCATCACCCTTGCTTCCCCGAGCCTCCGGGGCGATGTCCGGCGCCTTGTCATCATCGGGTGGGGGCACCGGTGGGCTCCTGCCGGAGCCAGATGCTGTTCACGTTGGGCTTTCGGAGAATTTTGAGGATGGGAGAACGTGGGACCATGACACGGTGCCCTTCTTGCCTCTCGATCAACGGCCGTCGATCCTTGGGGAGGATACACAGAAGAGGCCGACAGCTTGCGTTCACCAGGGATCCTTACGTCACAACGTCCTCCGTCCCAAAGCAGCTGGGGCTGGCTCCAGGCCGTCGTCAGCTCCGCCCCCGAAGAAGTCTTGCGCTACGGCAGCGTTGGGGAGAGCGGATGCCATCAGCAACAAGCAGGCCTTGCGACACGGCGCACTGAAACCTCAACTCTTGAAAGAGCGTTGGAAAGCATCCTGCCTACACCAATGTCAACTCCAGATATATTGGGCATGCAGCTTCAAGGCCCCGAAACCCCCCTTGAGTCCTCTTGCCATGAACCCGAAAGCTTCCAGGCGGTCTCGGCTCGGCACCACAGCGCCCGCCGAGAAGGAGCCGTAGAAGCCAGAGCTGTCTGAGCTATCCGGGAGCCTGCCACAAAGCAGTCAAGATGCTGCAGAAAGGTGGTGCCTTGGGAAGTCCTACCAAGGCCATGGCATCTTGACCGGACAACATGCATCATGGTTTCCATGCCCAGCATGGGCCTGCTTGTGGGTTTGAGAGAAGCCCTCCTTGCTGGGATGCCACTGGACCGTTGTGGCCCAGGTGTGCTGAAAGCCTGCGTGCCAGGAGGGAAGGACTGTCAGTTGCCTTCTTCTGTGCTGTCAAATAGATATCGCCAACCCAAACAGGAACCGCAAGTCTGCCTCGGGAAGTACACATGCCGCCAGCATTAACAGACCTTCAGCGCACTTCTGCAAACCCTGCGGGGCTCAGCTGGAGCCTCTGTAAACATGTGAGAATATCAACGCTCAAAAACGTGCTCAGAAGCGCTGAGTCCCGCTCCAATCCGTAGCCTCAGACGGTCAGGACTTAGGGACTTAGGGACTTAGGGCTGCTTTTGCCGCATCAGCTTCCATGAGTGAGGGGAGTGGCCAGTGACACACGCAGCACAGGTCCTGACCTACGCCAAACTTGCAACACCGGCAGCCAACGGACACATTGCCCGCTGGATAGGGCAAGGAGACAGAGTCCAATCAAGCAACACGGACGACACCCTGCGCGGTGCCCAGGTTCTCATCGGCGCAGACAATCTGACAACCTCGGCTTGGACTGCCGATCATCCGCCCCACATGTACTCAATGCGATGGGCATCTTGGAACATGTCACTGATATTGACATCGCTAGCAAAAGCTTAGGGCCACGCTGGATGTCTGAAAGGTGGGAGATACCCAATGCCCTTATTGGGGGTCCTTATTATGAGGGAATCCTACTATTTGGGGTCCTTATTACAAGGGAATCCTACTATTTGGGGGTCTATATTGGGGATCCCTTCTTTCCGTACACCCCCACCTGTCTTGACATGTCTTGACTCTCAGTTTCTGCAGGTCTTCATCATGTTTCATGAAGCTTGAGCGAATACAATTGCACAAAGCAGCTTTTCATCGATGCGCGCGAAAGAGCCTGAAATCTTCAAAGGCTCTGGATCTTAGCGTTGACAGCACGATGCAGTAAAGGGAGGCCTTGTTTCTGATTAGCACTCGCGCGCAGGGGCTTCACTCTGTCCGTTGCTTCTTGCGGCGTTTCGCTGCCTCTCTTGCCTGCGCAGGCAGGAGTCAGAACATTCGGGAACAGCTGCCTGCCACCTTTTTACCTTCAAGGCTGGACTTTCTGAAGCAAAACGTTACAAAGCAAACCTTGACCGAATTGCGCATTCCTGGGCTACACTGTCGAAAGCGAATTGCCACCGGGACGGCTTAATGGCGCAGGTGTACCGCAATGCTGCCTGCTGCCGCTGCCTCCGTCGGTCCATCCGCTTCTTCGCCATGGCCTCCGGTTGGGGTACAACAGAAGACAGCAGAAGCAGAGCTCTGAGGGCTTGCGCTCTGCCTCCAGAAGTGGAACATCCGTGTAGAGGCTCCGCAAAGCTACGGCGCCCTCCGAAGCTTCGCATGGGAATGCATGGGGACATGACACGGTCGGCGTCTAAAGACAGCTGAGGAAGACTATGGAAGACTTGATCCCGTCCTCGCCATCAACGGTCTGCAAGCTGATGTCACGTCCTCTGGACGACAGATTGAAAGCGCACGGCGCACCGGATTGCAAGGGCATGGCACGGGCCTTTCGAGTGCAGCAGACCTGCACCCTCAAAGTGTTGAAGAACTGCCTGTCACGCCATGAACAGGCCGAATAAGTGTGGCGATCAACTCTAGATAGTCTACGATGGCGCAACTGGCATGACGACATTTGCTGTCACGGAATGCTGTGCAGCACGTGCCTGTGCCAGCGCAGGGCTGATTTCGAGCCCGTTCTGCTGGCAAACGGTTGCCACCAGTGCTGCCTTAATGGGGTCAGGTTCACCAAGGAGTCAGAAACAACCTGCAAGTATCTACTGAGGCCTCCTGCAATCGGATCGCCCTTTTGCCATGCCAGTTCTTAGCTTCGCACCAGCCGGCCTCGCCGGCGGCATCGGGCTACTTCTTCGGATGCGTTGAGCAGAGGCCTCGGCGTCACTACCAGTCAGGCTCAATACCTTGGGATGTTCCCCCTTGTGCTAACAGTCCTTAATAGCGATAAAAGTAGCCCCTTTTATAATCCCTATTAAGGAGTGTTAGTATAAGGGGGAACATCCCAACCCATACCAAAAAAATCGCAGAAGGTGCTTCGTGCAACAGATTCTTCCCATGCCCTTCCAGTGACTGGGCTCATTGCAGCAAGCTGGCACAGAATCGCTGCATAACCTGCGCATCGACAGACACACATGCCCTGAACCGACCCAGACGGCTCATGCAGACAGAAGAGTTGAAGGAAACGCCAAACCCGAGCAACATCCCGGATGTCGCAAAGATGCTTGCTTTCGGGTTGAGGAGTTGAGGGGTTTAGGACGACCCCGGAAAGAATTGACTCCCGAACCGTAGCCCCAAAGACATCTACCAGTACATCTCCGGACCGTGGGATGTTACCCGTTAGAACAAGGGGGAACATCCGAGCCAACCCCAAACAACCCGTAAGCCCCCTCTCCGCACACCATGCCCTCGAAAAATCCCGGAACCCCCCCCCTCCCCCGGAAAAATCACAAAAACACTCACAAAAGAATCGTCCGACAAAAAAAACCCGCCTCTCCCACCCCCCACCCAATCTCCCCCCCCCCTCTCCCCCCAATTTCCCCCGAATCTCTCCCGAATCCCTTCCAATCTCCCCACAAAAGTCCCCACAAAAAAATCCCCTCGAATCTCCCGCAAATCTCCCCACAAAAAGCCCACAAAGATCAGAAAAAACAATCCCACAAATCCCTTTTAGATCCCTCAAATCCACCCAAGCCCCTCTTAACTTCCGCGTTGCGCCCCCCCCCCCCCCCAAGCCTCTGCAGCCTCGGCAACTTTGGCTTCGGCCTGCGCCTTAACTTTGGAAGGAGGGTGTAAGGGGCTCAGCTTCTTGGGGGCTTCGGGTTTAGGGTTTAGGGTTTAGGGTTTGGGGGTTTAGGGTTTGGGGCTTAGGGTTTAGGGTTTCAAGGTTCTAAGGTTTCAAGGCTTTAAGGTTTTTGGGTTCGGGGCTGAGGGGCTTCGGGTTGGGAACTTGGAAGGAGGAGGAAGGGTGGCCACACTTTGAGTGAAAGCGCTGGCCACATCGAGCGCGGGGGAGTGGCGTGCCCTCCTGCACCCTGGCCCTTCGAGCAATGCCCTTAAATGACTTCTCAGAGGCCCCTAAACCCTAGCCCTAAACCCTAAACCTGCTAAGCATTTGAGCCCTGAGGAGAAAGCCCCCTTGGTTGCCGGGCATTCTTGTCCTTTCTTGCCGCCGAAAGGCGGTCGAGCACGCGGCCCAAACCCTTGCGAGGGTTGGCCCTGGCAGCATGGGTGGTTTAGAGAGTTTAGGGTTTAGGGTTTAGGGTCTAGGGTTTAGGGTTTAGGGTTGAGGGTTGAGGGTTTAGGTTTAGGGTTTAGGGTTTAGGGTTTGGGGTTTAGGGTTTGGGGTTTAGGGTTTACGTAGGGTTTAGGGTTTAGGGTTTAGGGTAGATGGCTTTAGAAGTTACGAGACCTTGGGGTTTGGGGTAAGGTGTAGAGAGGTTAAGGTGTAGGGTGCAGGGTAGACGACTTTAGAATTCATGCGACCTTGGGGTTTGGGGTAGCAGGGTGCAACCAGGTAGCCCATGACAAGCTGCGCGCGCGGCCGTGCAAAGAAACGTGCCTCCATTCAAACCCTAAACCTTAAACCCTAAAGCCATGAAAACGTAATCACCCTCTCTTGAAAGACCGAGGCTTTGAAAAGTACCTATTAAGTAGGGTTATAAGTACCCTAAGTAAGGATACCCTGAGTAAGGATATAAATATGGTTACCAGATGTATAACCACACTTATAACTACCCATGAACCTCCAAGTAGAGAGCTCTAAGTGAAGCTGACATGAAACCCGTCTCCGACCAGAAGTTCCGAACAAATGAGGCAATCACGGCACACCCTATGTTAGATCCTAGGCCCGAGACTTCCTCAAACCCCAAACCCCCTAAACCCTACTGTTCGCTTATTAGCTGAGGTCGGTGCATGCCGAACCTGCCGGAAGGGGACTTCATCCATGGTCCTGCCTGATCGCACTCAAGCGCATTGAATTAGGGCCTGGTCAGGCCAACACCATTGCTGGCTCGAAGCCTAAAATTTCGCCAGGGGCTAGGGCTTCAGAACTCGCAGTGTTGAGGGTTTAACCCTAAACCCTAAACCTAAACCCTACAGGGATGTCTGGGGCCGTTGCCGATCCGATCGTTGCTCTGAGGGCAAGGCCAGCTGAGGCTGCATCGCCGAAGCACTTGGGCGCAGCAGTGGCTTCAGCATCTGCCACACAGACCCGTCGAGAGGTTCGGGGTCGGCTAGGCGCCAGGAACAGCATCTGCCTCCCTCTGAAAATTACCATGGAACTTGTTCTTCTGACAAACGGCAACACCCCCAGCCATCGACCTTTTCCTCGGAAATGACCAGCGACCGTCGCTCCAAAGAATGCAATGTAATTGACGTAAACACTTCACTGCATTGCAGTGACTGGTAGGCCGTGTCAATGTGCCAGAAAGTTGCTTGCAGACAGAGACTAGTGACTAGGACCTGCAGGTAACATTGTAACAATTCGACGGCCTGGAACAACTTTTCAGCCACCGCCTGCGGCAGCTGACCGTCATGGTAGGCCTCGAATGAGAAGTATTTTCGAAGGATGCGCCTGTGAATCCTGTGAACCTTGACGAGTATGAGCCTGACGGGTGTTGCGGCATGTGCCTGTTTTCAGCCGCAGCTCCCTCAACGGACAGACGTCCAAACTCAGCACTGCATGACGCTACCGGATGCGTCGCGTTCATCGCATCAAATTAAGCACTTTGGCGTGAAGGTGAGACACAACCGCACGTGTGTATTTTATTGTATTTTCATCCTGCCGACGAAGTAGAATTCACTTTGTCAGCATCTCTGTTAGCGGCGGAGCGACAATCTCTGAAATGGTGGGCTCGGCTAGGGCTGCGAGCGACACGGCAAGGCCAAGCAAATAAGCCGGGCTGAGGGTGAGGCCAAAGACCTTCATCTTCAAGAATCCTTGCGACAGCCACATGAAGAGCACCGGGTCGGTGTTGGACTCGTCACTTGCACACTTCTCAACGAAGGCGTTCCACATGATCAGGGGCAGTACTTGGAGGCAGACCAATGCCAGGAGTGTCAGGCAGTTGCACACAAGTACGGGGACGAACTCGTTGACCTCATAGTGAACGAGAAGGCGATAGCTGGCCATGGCCCCAGTCATCAGAGCAAAGGCATCCAAGACAAAGCCCACCTTGATCAGCAATGTCCAGTCCGAGAGGATGTCCTGAACCTTCCAGCCCAAGGTTTCGAGCAGTGACTTTACAACACCCCTCGACTCCTTTCCAGCAGAGATATCTTCGAAAAAGGCCCCCGCGGTGCGTGTCAGGAGAGAACACTCGGCTGCAAAAAGGAGTCCATTCAAAATCCGATGCCAGACTAAGGGAAGCCAGAGGATCAAGTAGAAGAGCACTGGCTTCGTCACTGCAAAGGTGCTCTTCATCTGCCAATCCCCACTGGCCAAATGGAAACCATAGCGGATGTACCGAAGGTAAAACAAAGTTCCACCCATGCTAAGTAGCGTGAGGGCCGCACCGGCCACCTTCAGAACCACCTGCCGCTTGCTGGGGAGGGCTGCCTGGTTGGGTCGGAGCACCGTGAAGCCGCAAATGTTGGCCGAATCCGTCTCTTGCGCCCTGGGAGCCTCCTCCTGTTCCTGGCGGGCGTACGTGGCATCGGCAAGCTCGCTGACGTTCGGGTACATCTCCTTCCACTGCTCGAGGGGTCCGTAGGTGTAGAGCCACTCGCGCAGGCGCTGTGCTGCCTCCCGGCTTTCAATAAGGCCGCTGAGAGCGATGCAGGCAAAGTGAACGGCCAGGCAAGTGGGCAAGATGCCAAGGTCAAACTCGTAGTCTTCCTAGTTCATGGTTGGGATAGTATTAAAAGTTGAAATTTGTACAGTCCTTATTGGCTTTAAGTACTCTTTAACATGCAAAATGTTCCCAACTATGACACAAAGTTCCAGGATAGGGGCGAAATCGCCAAAGGAATTTGAGATGGGCATTTGGATGAAGCCGTCCTGGTGCTCGAGGCAGATCCTGGCCACCACAAGCGACCACAGGAAGGCATAGAGAATCGGGAGCAGCTCTGCCATGGCCGTGTGAAACTTCTTTCCCCAGCCGCTCTTTGCTCCGGGCTGCTGCACCGTCCACTTCGCCAACCAGAGCATTGTCGTGCCAGGCCGGTCGGACCTGTCTTCGGACTTCGAGGCATACTTGTCAATCATGAGCTTGAACAGATGCATCTGCTCGCGCTCTCGATTGACGACATCATTCTTGGATTTTTCGAGCAGCCCGTGCAGAGGAGAAGGAGGATCCGCCTCTGTTTGCGCCAGCTCTCTTGACAGATATGTCTCTTCAACGATCAAGGGCTCCTTCATCTCCTTCATCTCCTGCTGCGGCTCGGGATCGGCACTCCGCGCCTTTTCCAAGGTCTCTGAGGTGGTCAGAGGCAGGCAGGAGCCCAAGGGGTTCCAGCAGCAGACCCAGCAAAGGCAGCATCCCCAGCTCCAGCACGAGAGCATCTGCTGGGCCTGAGCTGTTGTTGTACTGAAACCTTCCTCTCTAAAAAAAAGGCACACGAAAAGTAGGATGCGCAGCATGCTAGGGACGAGTAGTGATGGATGACGAGGACAAGGCAGGACCGGGACGACGCCGCAAGGGGAAGAGTGGCAACATATGGCAACATGCTCCCCAGCCTCCTCAGCTGCCGCGGCGACACGCCTGTGCCACAAGTAGATGACCTTGGCTTCTCGGAGCTGCTGGAGCACCGAGTTTGACGTGCTAAGGCATAAGAGCACTGTAGCTACGCGCTTTAAGGAAAAAATAAACAAAGATCATGGGCTCCCATCATCAGCCACATCAGCCCAGCTGCTAGGGAGCTCAAGCAGAAAATGCCTGCTGGCCACAGGGAAAGTGGGCCATTTCTGTAGACCCACACAACCGTCAGCACGAACACCGCAACGGTGTAGGCAATTGCACCACGACGGCGGAACCACCAAGCATTTGACACCACAAAAAGCGTTGTGAAGCAGTGGCGCAGTTTTGCTTCCAACTCTTTCGTGTCCTTAAAGATTAGACATTGGGTTCCCCCTTATACTAACAGTCCTTAATAGGGATTCTGGTACCCCCTAATACAATCTCTACTAAGGACTGTTAGTAGAAGGGGGAACATCCCAGGTTAGAGATCACTGCACGCCTTCTGCGGGCATGGCCGTTGTATGTTTTAGAACGAACAGGGCAATGAATTGCGAAGTAAGCAATGGC